ACGGCTAGAAATGAAGCCCTGGCTGAATGTAGAGTAAGAAGCAATATATCTTCTTATATATTGGCTTCTTCTATACTGGCTCAATGGCTCAACCAGCTAATTCTCCACCTCCAAGCACTAGGATCCCATATGGATCATGTCCCAGCTGTTGCACTTCCCATCCAGCTCCTTGTTAATAGCCTGGAAAAGTAGCAGAGGATGGTTCAAGCCAGAGTGGGTATGGGTGGGTTGGGCTTTGAGCTAGAGGATGTTGCAGCCTGGCCCACCTGACACCCTGTTTTAGGATTTCCACACCCCCCTCAAATTCCCACCTCCAACTGATTTCCCAGTATTATTACAATAATATATTTCTTCGGGCCCGGCACAGTGGTCTAGTGGCTAAAGTCCTTGCCTCAATCGTACCAGGATCCCATATGGTCGCTGGTTCTAATCCCGGCTGCCCCACTTCCCATCCAGCTCCCTGCTTGTGGCCTGGGAAAGCAGTCGAGGATGGCCCAAAGCCTTGGGAACCTGCACCTGTGTGAGAAACCTGGAACAAGCTCCAGTGCCGGAGTCCAGCTCCAGCTGAGTTCAGAACTCGAGAAGGGTGCGTGGATGAGGCGTAAAGAGGAAAGAAAGAGACGGACCACTAGGACTTCATGATCATAATGGACAATGCACAAAAGCTGTCCGCTTTATTTATACAAAATCAGTCAAATTCTGGCTCAGACTTTTTACGTCATGACCAAGTGGGTGTTTCTAAGGATAATTCTGCCATTAGTTTTACCTAGAAACAATAGAAGTTCCTGCTAACATTACCTAGAATTTCCTGCTACGATTCTTATCCTACAACTCAATTTTGTACCACAAAGAAAAGGAGAACTTAAAGATCAAGGAAAGAATGAAAGCCTAAATATAGGTCCCTTGATTAGCATAGGTTCAATGGGGACAGCCAAGACAATAGGAATGATAAAGGGCCCTTTTTGCAAGATATTGACCTCCAAGCTCAGGCTGAGCAAAAAGTTAACCTCACAGTAGCAAATGCCAGGATGGATTAAAATTCTTCCGCAGGGTGGTCCGGTGTCCATGCAAAAGAAGGTGGAGTTGCATTCAGGTGGTTGTAGAGACCTCCACTGGGCGGGCCCTGCCCTGCCGGTCAGCGGGAAATTCCTTGCGGCCCTGCCTGCAATGGAACACTCTTCACCCCCTCATGTCCCCCACATCTACTGCACGGACCCCAACACTCCAGGCTCCTGGCTTTTGATTGGCACAGCATTGACCGTTACGGCCACTTGGAGAGTGAATTATTGGATGGAAGATCTTCCTCTCTGTCTCTCCTCTGTATATCTGACTTTCCAATAAATAAATAAATCTTTAAAAAAAAAAAGAAAAGAAAAACATAAAAACTCATGGTATGCAGCAAAAAGAGTATGGAAAAAGTTATTGATCTTACAATTTGCATGAAGGCTGTCTCATTTCACTGAGCATAATGGTCTCTAGTTGGGACCATTTGGTTGCAAATGGTATGATTGCATTCTTTATAACGGCCAAGTAATATTCCATAGAGTAGGTATTTAACCACTCTTCTTTGGACACACATCTGGCTTGTATCCATGTCTTTGCTATTGTAAATTGTGTTGCTGTAAATATAGGATTACAGATCACTTTCTCATGTGCAGTTTTCATTTCCTTTGAGTATATTTCTAGGAGCAGGATAGCTAAGTCATATGGCAGGTTTATTTGCAATTCTCCAAGCACTCTCTGTACTGATTTCCACAGTAGTTGTACCGGCCTACATTCCCACCAGCAGTGAAGGAGGGTGCCTTTCTCCCCACATCCACACCATTAGGTGTTAGTCGAGTTCTGCATGTAGGCATGTAGGTGGTATCTCAACGTGGTTTTCATTTGTCTCTCTCTGATAACTAGGGAGCCTGAGCATCTTTTCATATGTCTGTTAGCCATTTGAACCTGTTCTTTTGTCCCTGGGTTTCTGAAGCTCTTTGCATATCTTGGATATTAGTCCCCTATCACTTGTGTAGCATGCAAAAATTTTCTCCCATTCTGTTGGTTGCTTCTTCACTTTGTTGATTGTTTGCTTTTCTCTGCAGAAGCTTTTTAGTTTGATGTAGTCCCATTTGTTTATTTTGCCTTTGACTGCCTTTGCTTTTGGAATCTTTTTGAAGAAGACTTTCCCCATTCCCATTTCTTGCGGAGTATTTCCTGTGTTTTCTTTTAATAGTTTGATGGTTTCTGGGTGTAGATTCAGGTTCTTGATCCATTTAAAGCTGACTTTTGCATAGTGTGACAGGTGTGGGTCCTGCCTCTTAATTCTGCATGCTGCTATCCAGTTGTCCCAACAACATTTGTTGAATAGACCAGGCTTTTCCCCTGGATTGTTTTCAGTTTTCTTGTCAAAGATTAGTTAACTATACATGTGTGGGCTCCCTTCTGCTGTTTCTATTCTGTTCCACTGATCTTCTTCTCTGTTTCTGTACCAGTACCAGACTGTTTTGATGACCACTGCTCTGTAGTATGTCTTGAGCCCTGAAATTGTGATTCCTCCAGCTTGATTTTTATTCTTCAGGGTAGCTTTGGCTATTCAAGGTCTTTTGATTTCCAGATGAACTTTTTATCTTCTTCTCTATTTCTGAGAAGAATGTTGTTGGGTTTTGATTGGGACTGCATTGAATCTGTAGATTACTTTTGATAATATGGACATTTTGATGATATTGATCCTGCAGATGCAGGAACTTGTTTAAGTTTCTCCATTTTCAATGTCTTCTATTTCTTCTTCTTCTTTTTAAAAATGTTTTATAGTTTTCATCATAGAGGTCTTCCACATACTTAGTTTAATTCCTAGGTATATAAGATTCCTCTCTGTACTTTTTTTTTAAAGATTCATTTATTTTTATTTATTTATTTTTATTGGAAAGGCGGATATACAGAGAGGAGGAGATCCAGTCCTCTAATCTATAGTGTTGGATTGATGAGTTTAATCCATTTACATTCAATGTTAATATGTATAGGTGGCAGTTTAGCCCTATCATTTTAGCAATGTGTTGTTCTTTGATTTAATCTTCTGTTAAACCTCTTACTGATCTGTTCTCCAGGAACCCCCTCAGGGTCTCCCATGTAGGTGCAGGGTCCCAAGGCTTTGGGCTGTCCTTGTCTGCTTTCCCAGGCCACAAGTAGGGAGCTGGATGGGAAGTGCAGCTGCCGGGATACAAACTGGCACCCATAAGGGATCCTGGCACATGCAAGGCAAGGACTTTAGCTATTATGCTACCGCACTGGGCCCAAGATGCATTTTTTATGAACCATTTGAATATATACATGAAAGTACTTTATAAAGTGTGTTAGGAACTGAACTGAAAAGATATTTGTGTCAGTGCTGTGACATAAGGGGCGAAGCCTCTGTCTGCATTGCTGGTTTCCCATATGGGCACTGGTTGGAGCCCTGGCTGCTCTATTTCTGATCCAGCTCCCTGTTGATGTCCTTGGGAGGACAATGGAGAATGGCCCAAGTGCTTGGTAACCCACACCCATGTGGAAGGCCCAGAAGAAGCTCCAGACCAGCTGGCTTCTGACCAACCCTGCTCTTGTCACGGTGGTATTTTGCGGAGTGAACCAATGAATGCAAGATCTTCCTCCCTGTCTCTTTTCCTCTATCCAATTAATAGGTCTTTAAAAATGGGAAATACATATATTTATTCTGGCGCAACATTTTTGAACATGTAGTTTGCTCATAATATGCACATTCAAAATTTTTGAAGATGCTTAAATGTGTGGATTTCAAAAATGCACCAAAATAAACAACTTTAACTCCATTTTCCATGAACTTTTTTTGTGTGTGTGTCTTTTTTTTTAAAAAAAGATTTATTTTTATTATGTTTTTATTGGAAAGGCTGATATACAGAGAGGAGAGTCAGAGAGGAAGATCTTCGGTCCAATGTTTCACTCCCCAAGTGAGCACAACGGCCGATGCTATGCCGATCCGAAGCTAGGAGCCTCTTCCGGGTCTCCCACGCGGGTGCAGGGTCCCAAAGCTTTGGGCCATCCTCGACTGCTTTCCCAGGCCACAGGCAGGGAGCTGGATGGGAAGCAGGGCTTCCGGGATAGAACCGGCGCCCATATGGGATCCCGGGCGTGCAAGGCGAGGACCTTAACCACTGCGCCATCGCGCCGGGCCCTCCATGAACTTTTTGAGGTCCTCATATATCTATATGCATGTTTGTATAGGAGATATTAATTTGTTTATGTATGAGATATGCTTATGTATAAGTCTTGTGTACATATATGTAAGCATAGCATGTTTCTGCTTAAGTATGCTGTGTATATGATATAAATTAATACATATGGCTATTAGACACATGGATGATAGAGTTATACAAGTTTATATTGTGTCTGATTTATCTTTATGTGCATAGGACAGGCTTAGCTTTGTATGGGTGTACGTGGTACATCTTCATGCATGTATATCATGTGTATGCACGGTGCATTCATTACTATGTACGTGTGTATATGACATATGCATATTTAGGTTGTGTGTGCTCAGCATAGCTCATGCAATCCTTGTGTATTTACATATATGCATGGTCTGTGGCATCTATGCATGCTTATGATATGTGTATATGACGAACACTTGTATCACTGTTTGATACGAAATACATAACACGTATGCATTAAGCAAGAAGCCGCTGACAGGCAAGCCTCGGGTCCGGGCACCGATAGAGCCTCTTTGCCTATGGCCAGTTAAGTTGGGCAGCGTCTGGGAAGTTCGAGGCCTGAAAGCCAGGCTCAGCGTCCTTGTGGGATGTCAGGCCCCGCCCCTCGCCCCGCCCCCTGGACGGAGGCGACGTGACTCTCGGGGCCGCGCACGCTGGCCGCGGAGCGCCGCGCCGTCGCGGGGCGTGCCGGGAGGAGCGCCGCGCCGTCCATGGCGTGAGCGCGCCCGCTCTCGGCGGCGCGCACGGCAGCCGCGGCCGGCCGCCATCTTCCTCCCGAAGCGGCTGCTCCCGGTGCAAAAGGCGGGGGGTCCGCGGCCCTGCCCGGCAGCCCACGCCTCGGCCGCCGCGGTGGGAGGCGTGGATGACGGGGGAGGCGCGGCCAGGCCGTCCCCGCAGCGTCGCCATAGGGCAGGTCTGGGCGGGTCCTGCGCTCCCCAGGCTGGCCTGGCGGGCGCCTGAGCTCCTCCCGGGGACCGAACCCGAGACCTCACGGTGGGCGCTCCCCGCCGCCTGCCCCGCTGCCCCCGGCTGTCACTCGGGTCGCGGGGGGCTCCTCCCAGATGGGATAAGCGGCCAAGATGTTCAGTTTTGAAGGGGATTTCAAAACGAGGCCCAAGGTGTCCCTCGGCGGCGCGAGCAGGAAGGTAAGCGCGGCGGGAGGGTGGCCGGTGCGCGGTGGCCGGCGCTGGCCGGCGGGCCACCTCGGAGGCAGGGCTGGAGCGCGTCCCCATCACCCGGGACTCGTCGGGCGTTGCATTTCTGCAGGCGGGGGAGCTTTCTCAATGTAGCCAGCCTGTAAAGTCGGGTTACTTTGTGCTGGAGGTTGATTTGACCCTTCCTGTGCCGAGGGCCGGCTTTTTCAGAAATGAACTTTCGACGCTTAGTCACGGCCGACACCGGGCAGTCGTTGCACTTAGAATATTGCCCAACCCTTTTGGCAGCATTTTCTGCCTTGCAGAGTGAGGACAATGTATCTGTAATCTCGGAAATGGAAACACAGCTCCTTATTAGCCACGTGTTTTGAATCCCAAGACTTGACTGGTTTTCTGGAAGCGTGTGCGCTGAGACTCCGGGGCTTCTGTTTAAACAGCTTATGGAGTTACGATGGTGGTTGAGGTATGGGTGGACCTATATTGCCTCTGATTCCAGAAGTTAGCAGCTGCACTGCCCTGGTGACAGACAGCTGTTGGATGGACGAAATGGCCAGTAAGTTTTCAGCACAGGCGACCCTCTTGCTCCACTCCGACTCGGCGTGCGATCCTTGGCTCGGACCGTCGGTCAAGCTACCGGACCTTGTAGGGCTTTCTGTGTCATTGGTGCTGACTGGCTGCAGGGAGCGTGGGCTGCAGCCCCCGGTGGTCCAGCCCAGTTCTTGGAAGGGCTTGGTGCGCTTGGCGTGAGGAGCTTGTCAAGGAGCGTGGTCCTACCAAGGCTCTGGATGAGAGCCTTTTTCCAGTTGGGAGGGAAAGCTCCCAGTTTAAGCTCAGGGCCAAATCTCCTAGTTCTCAAGTTTGGAAGATGAATACAGAACGTGCGTGGCCAGGCATGGCCGCACTGCAAGGCAGTGCTGGGTAACCGCCTTCAAATCTGTGCCCTTTATTTCTTCCTTCATTCCTTCATTTATGTGGAACCTGTGGATTCTGTTGGAGGTGGGAGTTGGTCCTTTTCTGGAAGTAACACATCTTCTCTGAGGAAATACTTGACTATTGACCCGACTCTGCATCCACCACCATTACAAGCTTTCTTTGGGGTGTTATCTTGATACCGGCTCAGGTTCCCACGTGGCCCTTGTCTTGTTCCCAGGAGGAGCCCTGGGAAGAGACACTTTGGCAGTGAAATACCCTAGGAGGGGGGACAGCAGGTAGAGCAGAGGAGTCGGCGTTGGCCTAGTGTGACCAAGGCCAAGATCATCCTCGGGTGAGAGCGGCAGTGTGGCCACGGCCTGGCCGCTCCGCTGCTGGGCAGTTCTCCAGCAAGGAGCCCTTGGTTGTTCTGCACGTACCTGATGAAGGAATCTGGGTGGGGACCCAACTCTGTGCTTTTTAGACTCGTATGCAAATGGCCTCTTTTCAGTGAAGAGCATTCCTGCATTCCACAGGCTTCCTGTGCGCTCACGTGTTGTAGTATTTGCTCCTTCACAAGGTTGACCACTAGCGACCTGAGACTGTAGAATTTCATACACAGAATCGCAGCCAGTTTGTCCTTTATTTCTGCTTGACTCCTTTGCCCCCATCCGTCTGTCCTGTGCAGTGCTGATCTAGAGACATATACTGTTTATACATTGTATTTAAAAAAAATTTTTTAATTTTTTAAATTATTTTTTTATTGGAAAGGCAGATATACAGAGAGGAGAGACAGAGAGGAAGATCTTCCATCCAATGATTCACTCCCCAAGTGAGCGCAACAGCCGATACTATGCCGATCCGAAACCAGGAGCCTCTTCCGGGTCTCCCACGCGGGTGCAGGGTCCCAAAACCTTGGGCCATCCTCAACTGCTTTCCCGGGCCACAGGCAGGGAGCTGGAAGGGAAGCGGGGCCACTGGGATAGAACCGGCGCCCATATGAGATCCCGGGCGTGCAAGGCGAGGACCTTTAACCACTTGTGCCACCACGCCCGGCCCTATACATTATATTTTTGTATCCTCTTTTTGGACATAGAGATGGACAGCAGTTGTGACAGGCAGTGACGTCCAGGTCTTCCTGTGAGTGGCAGGAGCGGAATTACTTGTGCCATTGCTTCTGTCTCCCAGGTCTGCGTCGGCAGTGAGTTGGGAACCCGGGTCAGAGTGTCCCCTTTCTCCTCGCTTTCCTTGTCGCCCTCATTCTTGGCTCTGCAGGCCCTCCTCACGTGACTTTGTGCCCAATTCCCAGTTCAAGTGCGTTGACTGCTTCATCTCAATTCTAGATTTTCAGGATGGAAAATTTCTTTGGCCTGGGTCAGGTTTGTTTCCTTCTTTTCTTTCCTCCCTCCCTCCCTTTCTTTCCTTGTTCTTTCTTGATTTATTTTATTTTTATTTGATGGGCAGATTTACAGAGAGGAGAGACGAGAAAGAACCTTCGTGTGCTGGTTCACTCCCCGAATGGCTGCAGTGTCTGGAGCTAAGCCAATCTGAAGTCAGAAGCCAGCATCTCGTGTTGGCTCTCCCACGTGGGTGCAGGATCCACTGCTTTCTCCCAGTCCAAAAGCGGGGAAGTGGATTGGAAATGGAGAGCTGGGACATGAACTGGCGCGCGTATGGGGTGCCAATGCTTGAAGGTGGAGGATTAGCCTGTTGAGCTGTAGCACCAGCCCCCTGGGTCAGGTTTCTACCTGAAGAGCTGCATCTCAGGAAAAGTTGTACTTTTGATAGAAATGGAGGAGATTAAGATGTGTGTGTGAGGTGGTACAAAAGCTTTGTGGGAGAAAAGTGGGGATTGGATGAATATCTGGGTTCCTGTGAGAAGTAGATGGGCTATGACAAAGCAGTGGTTTACACATCTCTGAATCTTGGGCCAGAATCTGGGCTGGGGACTGTCAGGCAAACAGATGGCTTGAATGTCATCAACCAAGAGGGCTTGGGACTCAGGACTGAGGATACAGAGGTGTGTATGTCCAGGGGAGGGGTCTGTGGGTCACACCTGTCAGAGGGGAGGAGCAAAGGGCTGCTCCAGGAGTGTCTGGGAAGAGTGACCGCCAATGCCGGATGAAGAGCTGCAGTGTTTCAGAGTGGTTTTAAGGTTTACAGGGAAATTGGTGCGAAAATGCAGAACTCAAGTGTCCTCAATCTGTCCTGACCCCTTGCTCACACTGTCTTTCGTTATTTACATTTTGTGTTCACGTTCACCTTTGTTACATTTGATATATATCCTAGAATGTTTAGCGCTGCATTATTACTAACTAAAGTCTTCAGTTTCTGTTAGTCTTGGTGTTAACAGAGGATGTGGGTTTTAACCCTCAGCTGTTTTAGGCTGCGTTAGTAGTATGCTTGTAAGGTTTCTCCATGTCATTGTAGCTTGATAAATCTTTCTCTCTTTGCTGAATATTTTTTCTTGGTGCAAATATTAATGGATATTGTCGTTACTTTGGTAGTTACAAATAAAATTGCTATAAATATATTTTTTGAAAGATGTGTTGATTTGTCTGAAAAGCAGAGTTAGAGAGAAACAAAATTTCCATTTGCTGGCTCACTCCCTAAAAGGCCGGATGAAAGCCAGTGGCTTGGAACTCGGTCCAGGCCTCCCACAGGGGTGTCAGGACATCAAGGACTTGGGCCATCTTTGCCACTTTCCCAGGTGGATTATCAGAGAGCTGGGTGGTAAATGGAACAGCTACAACTCGAACTGGTGGCTGTCTACAATGCTGGTGTGAGCGGTGGTAAGTTAACCTGATATCCCGCAGCAATAACCTCTGCTCTGAAATATAGCTCTGGATAGATTTCAACTCACTTGGGTCACTGCTTAGGGAGCACTTGTTGGATTGCATGTTCAAACTAAGCTTCATTTGCAAGAAACTGGAGCACTGTCGTGCATCTTGGCCGTGCCTTTTTCTTGTTAATATTTATTTCAAAGGCGGAGTTACAGAGAGAAAGAGGGAGAAGTAGAGAGATTGCAGAGAAAAAGGGAGAGGTGGAGAATCTTGCATTTGCTGGTTCACTTCCTGGTTGGATGCAGTGGCCAGTGCTGGGCCACTTGTGGTTTTCTGAAGTGGATTCAGGGCCGTGCGCTTCGGACCGTCTTGCACTGTTCTCCCAGCTCATTAGCAGGGTCCCGGATCCAAAGTGGAAGAATTCTTATTGTTCCACATCCTCACAAGATGTGATAGGTGTTGGTGTTTTACATCTTGGCTGTTCTGGGGGCTGACATGATAGCCCAACTGCCGAATCTTTCACCTTGCAACACTGGCATACCATATGAGCACTGGTTCGTGTCCCATCTGCTCTACTTCCTATCCAAACCCCTGTTTGTGGCCTGGGAAGGCAGTGGAGGGTGGCCCATAGCCTTGGGACCCAGCACCCCCACGTGGGAGGCCAGGGAGAAGCTCCTGGCTTAGATCAGTTCAGCTGTGGCCATTGTAGCCAGTTGGGGCATCCCATGTGGGCACTGCTCTGCCTCTGCTCCAGCTCCCTGCTGACGGCCTGGTGTGTAGTGAAGGACCTAGCTGGAGCTCCTGGCTCTGGCTTACACTGGCTTAGTTTCTGCTGCTTAGCCATTTGGGGAGTGAACCAGCTGATGGAAGATCTCTCTCTCTCTCTGCCTTTCTGTGATTCTGCCTCTCAAAGAAGAAATAAATATGAAAAAAAAAAATCTTTGGCTGTGTTTTATAATTTACTTGAGTGAGAGAACCTATCTGCTGGTTTACTCCCCAGATTCCCGCAACAGCCTGGACCTGAGTATGGCAAAGGTGGGAACTGAGAATCAATTCAGGCCTCCCATGTAAATGACAAGGACCTGATAGGATGTATGCCAGGTGCACATTTGCTGGAAGCTGGAAGTTACAAAGAGATGAGAGGGAGAGAAAAAGAAAGGTATTCCATCTGCTGGTTCACTTCCAAAATGACCACAGTGGTCATGGCTGGGCCACATAGAAGCCAAAAGTCCAGAGCTGCTTTGTCATCTCCCGTATGGCTGCAGGGTCCCAAACATTTGGACCATCCTCTGCTTTCGC